GATTGAGGGCGCTGTAGGGGTGTTGAGATTTTTAAATTAAATTTTATAAAAATAAATATTAATCCATTTTTAAATATTTACAAATTTTAAAAATTAATATTAGATAATATTTAATAATTTTAAAAATTAATATAAGATAATATTTAATAATTTTAAAAATATTTTTAAATATCAAATAATCAAAAGAATGAAGAGATAAGATAAAATATATAGGTGAAATAAGAAAAATAAATATGAGAAATTTCAAATTCTCCCATTTTTGGGAGAATTTGAAATTATACTATTTTAAGGAATTTTACAAATACTTGAATTTCAAATTCTTTGTAAATTCCTCATCCAAACAAAGCATTTCACCTCAAAGAATTTGAAATTCTTCAAATAAATGAATTACCCTATATAAATTCCTCATCCAAACATACCATAAGTGTAATATCTTGTCACTCAAAATTAGAATTTTATCATGATACCTAGCACGTGTTTGGTTTTGCATTGGTAACACACGTATCATTGAATTTCCATGTCCAAGTTTTGAAAAGACGTAGAAGCAACGATTGTAAATGTTAAGATTGACGTGGATCAGATGGATCTGATGCTAAACCAAACACACAATTATTGTTAGCTTATATTATATAAGTTATTGAAATCAAAGTAAAACTCCACTTTTGATTTAAGAATAGTACCAGAAGTATCTAGCATATTACACTTTCTGTCCACTTCTTTAACAGAAAACTATCTGTATATGGAACATAATTAGAAGAAGAAAAAGTATTTTCTTTTTTGTGTTCACAGTTCAAAACTGTTGCATAAAACACACTTGCAGAGAGAAATACTACTGTATACAGTATACTATGCATTCCACTTCGTTGCCTCAACATCACCACAAGACACATTCCCAACCAAGGCACCTAATAGCACGCCACATTTAACATTTTCCTTCCCCAATCACGCATTTCTTCAGTCATACATTTTTTTAATGATATGTTGCCTCTATCACATCATTTATCTCATCAGACATTTATCTTTTTCCCCTCAATATCTTTCTCCTTGTTTTGCAGAAAATTATGCGGAGAAATTTTACACACAGAAATTCTTTTTACCGTGCTACATGGCATCTCTAAGCACTCGAAGCCGTGCTACTAAACTCAGAAACTCCCAAATCAAAAACCCAAAATCCATTGCCCAACACTTCCTGACCAAACAAACCAGAACCTTAAAATCAACAGAACCGCCAACTAAAAATTAAATTAAAATAAAATTCACTCTCATTCTATTGCGTATTACGAAATGCATATCAATTGAAAGTAAATAAAAAGAAATTCACCTTGATAATTTTGATTTGAGTCTTCTTTGATTTAAGGTGCAGATACTGGAAATGTTAAGTTGCAATGTGGTGTGTGTGAGATTTGTTTATATCGTTGCTGCGTTTGGACACTTTACGCGTTAAGGAAGAGGTCAAAAAGTTTAAAAGTTTAAAGAAAGTATTAAAACAAAAGAAATTTTCTTTTTAAAAAGTTGTCTTTTTAATTAGAGTAAAATATATGATTTTCTTCTTGTAAGTAGATTTTAAGTAAACACGACAAAATGGATTGACTGAGCCGATCCATACAGCTAATTAATTAAAATCAAGTTACATTGAATTGATGTGTCAAGTAAAAACGAGTTAGATATTTTAATGAAAAATGTTGTATTTTTCGAAATGAAAGCTGAAATTTCGTCCGAATTTTTAAAAAATTATTATTTTTTAATATATTTATTATAAAATAATTATTTTATAATAAATTTATTAAAAATAATAATTTTTTAAAAATTTGTACAAAAATTTGGCCTTCATTTCAAACGTTGTAACAATGTTCTATCTTAATTCATCTTGATTAAGGATGAGTTGATGGGTCAACTCGTCAAAAAATAAAAAAGAACAAAAATTATATTTATTTTTATATTTTCTTCAACATATTTTTTTCATACAAATTAGTATACTTAAATAATAAAATAAATCTTAAATTATAACAAACTTGATTTAAATTTAACGCATAACAAATTTTATATTTGTTGTATAATAAAATAAATATGTAATTATTATAATAATAACTCTTTCAACAAATTTGTTATAAAAAAATACTAAAATATATATAATAAAATAAATCAAATACTTAACAATTTAACATTAAAATAATAACAACAAAAACAACAACAACAACAACAACAACAATAATAATAATAATAATAATAATAATAATTAGACGGGTTAATGAACCAATTTGTCCTAATGCACCATTTGATCCGATGGGTTAACAAGTTAGGCAAGATATGCTAGGTGAGCTAGTGGCTAAATATACTTAATTTGATATGTCAATTTTCTTAGGTCAATTGGCTAGTATAGACTCGTTTTGTCATTCCTAATTTTAATATGAAGAAGTAATAGGATGATAAAGAGGAAAGGGATATGAAATGAGAGAGAGGGAGAATAATATATAAAAAAAAAAATAATTAAAATTTATTGTTTGGAATTATTTTTACATAGTTATTATTTAATTAAAAAGTATTAAATATATTATTTTAATAATTATTTTTAAAATCACATTTAATATAATTTAATTAATTTATAATATTAAACTTTTACGTTTAGAAAATATAAAAAATTGAAATCTTAAAATATTATAATTGAGGGCTTTATTTTGAACATGCAAAATTGTCAAAAGAATAAATAAGGTATTATACAATTACAAGCAACAACTAATGTTAGGTTCTTTTTAATTCAAACAATTAAGGAGGTATTTATAAGAAATTTAAAGAAAATATTTTTACAATATAATTTATTTTCATTAAGCTAATTTTAAAATTTTAAAATTACTAAATAATTTAATTGAATTTTACTTTTAAAATATTTAAATAGTATTGAACTTTTATGTAAAATAATAACAACAAGAATAAATTCTAAGATGTGCAAATTATCTAAACTCTTCATACTAAATCAACGAATTAAAAATGCTTTGATTTAATCATTATTCTATATGAGTGACTTTTATATTTATCAGATACTTATGTTAATCAAAGACTAAGATGAGTTATACAAACTCTTCATACTAAACCAACGAATTAAAAATGCTTTGGTTTAATCATTATTATTTTAGATGAGTTATTTTTATATTTGTGAGATACTCATGTTAATTAAAGACTAAGATGAGTTATATAAGTTTTTACTTGCTTCATTTTATATGTTATATGTCACTTTAAGTGTTTTAATTTATTTAAAGATAAATTAAATTATACTTTTGGTTCATTATCTTATTTTTATATTTATTTTAATTATTTATTTTTTAAAATATACATTTTGATCATTTATTTTCTAAATTTAGGTTAATTTAGTCTCTTTGAATCATTTTTTAATTAATTCATGACTTCAATTTTGTTTCATTAGATTTAATTATATGAAAATAATTGAATATAATTAAAGTTAAAATCAAAAGTGTTACATACAGGATAAAAATTGAATTTAAAAAAAATAATATAATTTCATACTATGTTTTAATTGTTTGTGTGATATATTTTTTTATATAACTTTTACTATGTTTATAATCTTTTCAAAATTTGAATGTTAATGTATTTCATGATTTTTATATAAGTAAATTTAATATAATAAGTTTCATGTCTTAAAACAGTCAAAAATTATTTTAAAATTGCATCAAAAATTTGAAAATGATAATTATTTTAAAAGGAAAATTGATCAAAATATAAAATATAAAAAATTAAAATAAATATTTAAATAAATATAAAAAATAAAATAAGTAATGAAAAGTATACTTCAACTTTAAAAATGTTTTTTATTTTAGGAAGTAAAAAATATCATTTTTAATAATATTCTCATTCATTGGTGTCTGACCTAAATACCTAAATGAAATTATATTTACTTTCTAATTCTTTTAATTAAGAGTATTTTGTTAAAATATATGTTGTTATAATAATGTGTATCATTAATATTTCTTTATATATTAACTAAGTAGACTAACTGATGCTTCTAGAATTATTTGAGGGTAGTTCTACTCATCAATATATTTTCATTGGGCCATTTCTAATAAGTGTCAAATGTTCAAATACATCGAATGTGGGCCTAAAACCTGAATGAGCCCCACAACTATACGTACATGCCCATTAAACATTATCACATTGGCATATGGCTCATGATATATACATTTCTTTTTTTTATAGGTACACCTCTTTTATGTTTTAAACAAAATTATAAAATATTGTAGATTTTTTTAATTTTTTTTAATTTTATACCTCCAACTTTCAATTCGTTACTTTTTTCTCTTTTTTCACATGTTTTTTTTTTTATTTTTTATTTTTATTTTTTATTTTTTTTATTTTAGTTTTCACATTCTACCAAAATAAGTGGATGAAGGAAAGGTAAAAAAGTGTATATAAAAATTTAAAAAATGAGAGAAGGTGTGCGAAAAAAAGTACTAAATTAAATATTGTGGATATAAAATTAAAAAATTAAAAATTAAAAATATTTTAGAAATTTAATTATTTTTTTTTAAAAAAAGAAGTGTACTTATAAAATAAAATAAAAAGAGGTGTATATATCATGAAGCTTGGCATATTATGAAAATTGTAGTCACAGTATTCATAAGGCCACTACTTCCACTGGAAGAATATTCACAAACCAACTACTTCTACTGAGAGAATAAGAGTACACTAATTTGGGTAAATTTTTTCAAAAATACTTTCAAGTTAAAAAATTTAAAAATAAAAATGAAATAAATATTTTTATAAGTTAAAACTAATTTAAATATAAACTGATTTGTCAAAATTTTCTTTGATTAGTTTTTTTTTAAATTATTTAATTTGTCCAATTTTTCTTTGATTAGCTTTTTAAAAAAAAATATATTTATCCATAAGTTAATTTTAATTTATGATTTTTTTAAAAAAAAATTTATCATCTATAAGTATTTTTGAAAAAAACTTATCCTAATCGATTCTAACTCAACTCACAACCACTCCAAATATGCATGGGAACAACATATTTTAAGGCATAGCCTAAGCATCTACATGACTATTTATAAGCAGAGGCATTCTCCATGGGAAAAACATATTTAAGGCTAAAATATATAGTTCTAGATATTTTGGCACCATCAACAGAGTTCCCAATCTCAGCAACCTTTTCCCTGAAAATCCAGGGATGTGAATATGGCCAAAATATTACTAGCTCATACACAATTCCCAACCTGAAGTAAAAAACCAAACATGCATCATCAGACACTTCAGTTAAAGTGACAACAAACATTTCTAAATTCTAGAATATTAGTAACCACAAACATGATGTATGAGCAAAGAAGTAGAACAAAAGGATTTTGGTGATATAAAACTATTTGAATGAGATCATAATATACTTTGATATACCTTCGATCGTATGGTTGTTTTATCCCAATTGAAGACTGCATCAGAAGAGGAAATTGGCAAGACATACTTCAACAGCAGATGTATGTTGGCCATCAGCCATTGCTTTCTCTTTAATTATCTTCTTTGTCAGAAAAAGACAGTAAAAATTAATCGTAGCCCAAGTCATTGCTATGAATAATATACCCATTTAAGTAAACATTCATTTTAATTTCAAACTATATTATCATATTAATTCTTAAAATAAAGAAATTATAAAATAAGTTCTTAATAAAACAAATTGATAATGACATTAATTTAAAATTTAAAATTAATTAAAATAATAATATTGATATATATTTGAAAATAATAATAATGATAAGTAATTAAATATTATTTTTTTAATATTTTCAAAATTTATTTGACAAATTAATTTTAAAAACTAATACAACAATTTAGGACCAACATAGGTGTTTACACTTCACATCTTATTCTGTCTTGTCTTCTATGCTTTACCTTAGTTTATGCCATGCACGAGAAACAAAATTTTAGGGGCGAGTTTATTTTAGCAAATTGGTATGTTGCAACAATAATAGACAAACATTATCCATTAGGTTTTTATTTCTAAATGTAAGACTTTTTTATCCATTAAATTTTTGTTCCCAACTGAATGCACATAGCATTATTTGATGAACTCGACCAATTATATTTTTATTTTTAACTGCATACACATTTCAATTTTAATGTACTCGACTTATTTTGATTAGAGATAGAAATAAGTTATACCTTAAATAAAAGTTTATGATTCAGTTTTTTTTTTAAGTTTGATATGATCTAACCTGTTTAATTAAAAAATTAAATTTAAATTTTTAAAAAAGTTTATTTGTATAAAAAAGATAAGTTTAGATTTATAAAAAAATTTATTAGACTTAAAGAGTAACTTATTTATTTGTATAATACAATAAAAAATTAATATATATATATATATATATAT